AAAAAAAAAAAAAAGCTTAAGAAACAGCACGCATATTCATGAAAAAAGATGTGCATGAAATGTGTGAAATTTGTCCAAAAGGCAAAGTATAATTTTAGATTTTCTGCTATGTTATTAATATAAGCATTCTTGCAATGGATACCATCGATACAAGTTGTCAAACATTCCTACATTTAAATTTTATGTGTGTTTTCAGAAACGTAATACATGACCATATTACATGTAAGGGAAACAAGAAAAAAATATGTTAACAATTGCCAAATAAGTAATACATATTTATTATTGCTACAAGAATTTAAATATAAGAGGCACCTCAAAACCCAGGAAAATGCTGAAAAGTTAGCATAGAGGCAGAAAAGGCCTTTGGAGAACTTAGTTAACGCATGGACTGAGCTGGGGAGGGAGAGGTCTGGGCCCCTCTGTACAATGAGGCAGAGAGAGCCAGCCACATAGCTGAGTGGAAAGTTCAACTGGAGACTTAGAGACAGACTAGGAGATCTAAACAGGGTATCTGTAAGACCTGATGAACAAAGTTAAAAATCATATCAGAAACTCCATTAGAGAGCTGTAATTATTTCCTGCCAAATCTTTAAAGTTTGTTTTCAGATGTACATTCCTGTGATTCATGAGATGAAATCCTCTTATATTGCTACCCATGGCAAATCCCTACCACCAACCAGGTCCAACTTCATGGGCATGATACCTGTATCCTTCCTTACACAGAGCCCTCCCATAGAACAACATGCATTTGATTGAAAGCTCTGCTATCACCATCTTAAAATTCTTGATAATTTTTTTGTCTTAAGGGGCTCCACGTCATCATTTTTTCATTGGGCCTCATGACTTATGTTGTTGATCTGGCTATTAATGCAAGAAACCAATTTGAGGTCAATAGGTCATTATTCATTTTATCAAATGACACAAAAGATCCACATAAATGTTATCTGGGGAAAATCTTAAGACTGAGTTGATGTATACATAAAAATATGTAAGCATCATAGTATAAAGTTTTAATAAAGAAGAACAAAGATAGCATTTTGCAAATCAAAAGCTCGTTCATAATAGAGATAAGATGAATCCTTCCTTATTCTAAACATTAGGGCCAGCTAAATATAATTTGCCCAACTCTTTTAAGTTGTCTTTCCAGTGGAATGTTTTATTATAAGTCTTCCAATGTGTTCAGATTTTTTTTCCTTTTTTTTTTTCTTTTTGTAAGTAGGAAACTTCCATTTCTAAGAACAAATGAATTCTAACTGTGTTCTGTCTTCCCACAGGATCTACTATCTATTGTCTCAGGGAAAATAACCTTTCCTCCTAGCAGAGACATGAATGGGAGAGGAAATGTAAGCCCTTAATTACTACAGATGTTACTTTATGGAATTTTTATTCTAGGAGAGCTACAGAATGAAAAGCCTATGCCCTAGAGCCCCCTCCCTGCTCAATCTCTCTCTGGGTACTCATCCAGCTAAAAGGCAGTTAAGACTCTAAAACTTGCTTGCAGAAGTCCTCAAATCAAATCCTTTCTCTTGGCCTTAAAATGACATGGAATTCTGAAAGAAGACCCAACCTAGATGGGGTTAGTGTTAAGTTGATTCTACATTATGTGTTTTAGGGGACACAGAGGAAGCTAAGAAAGAAAATCAGGTGGCTAGCCCATTCATTCCCCCCACCTACAATATTTCAGTGGTTTGAAAGCTTCCAGTCTTCCCATCTGAATTCTAAATATGATCATCTTTTCTTAAAGCTGTTTTACAGCCACATCAGGCTGGATGGGGGCTGTTTCTATGAACACAAAGACAGCAGCATAGATTGTTCACTTTGGGTTCATTCAGATTTAACTAAGTGAAGTCTGCTGTGAGCCTTTAGAGACTCTTCTCTGAAAGAACACATGCCATAAAATTCTGTTTTCTGTAGCTGCCGGCATTTAGTGTCAAACCACGTTATGCTGCACCACCCAGGAGTGACAATTTCATTTTAATGCATGGGGCACATTTTAACAAGGCCACTCCCAGCAAAGATGGCAATAAAGGAGTGGCCAAGGGGAAAAGGTTCAGTATTCCTCATGCATTTTATGTGGAAACAGAACAAAAGTGGGGCCCAGAGAGGTGGGGCGGGGGTCAGTAGCAGCCTGTATTTGAATAACCATCTCAGGAAGAATGTGCCCATTTTCTTCTCAAGTTCCACAATTAAGGGCTCTGAAATGCCAGCTCAGGCTATCTGAAATCTGGCACACGCTTCAGTTGAAACTGACACTAGCATTATCAAGTGAGCCTGAAAGACAGCACACCAGATGCAGCTGCCTTTGCATGTGCCTTTCAGACGGGCCACTGAATCACTACAAGTGCATCTATTCTTCCTAGGCGCTACCTGAGCCCCCTCTCATCCCTCAGAACAGCTCGGAGTGCCAGGCCAACCATTCACCTGACAATACATTAATTGGGCTCTTACAAGGCTCCAGTCATTGTATAAAAGATTCAGGGTTTTCTGTTAGTTYGGATTTTTAAATATAAATATACATTAAAGGTCCTGTTTGACATACTTTCTTGTCTGAGTGCCTAAGAATGGCTGGTTTCAGTCATTTGAAAGGTGCCATAGAATTGTGCCACTTCCCTGCCCCCAGCCGCCCCTCTTTTTAAACAACAGCTAAGAGGAGCTGATTTCACAGCCAATACAATTCCCACAGGCAAATTACATCAGATGAGARCCTGATCCAATATTAGTAGCATGTTCTGTGTCAGACTTAACACACAGAGGTGGAAAAAGTATTTAGCAAACCATTTGCAGCCTACCTATCTCACCTCAACAGCRAATCTCTTGGTTTATAATCTTAAAGCTATTAGTATTATTAAACATGTATTTAAAACAAATCCACTCTGTCATTTATTATGATTAATTAGAGCCTTCCACTATTGYGAAATGTTTGTGGTTTTGCAATCACAGGCTCTGTACAAATTATTGGCAAACTTAGAACATCCAATGTTGAAAGCCAAGCCTCCTCATTTCCGGTAAGATTTATGCAAAGAGTCAACATTAAAAAGATTTTTTTTTAAGTACTAAAATGTGCACTCCTAATATTTCATAAACAAATTATGTCATTTTTAGTCCAGCATCCCCAGTGAGTACTAAAGACAAAAGATGAATGGAGGAGTTGAATTTTCTTCTTAGATTTTGCAATTTGTTTACTTCCTGTCTAATGTCTAATATTCCTAGGATACAAGCATCACAGATGTCACATGGAAAAGTAAAGGGACTGCCCTGCTATCCTCTTTTGTATATACTTGGACATCTTGGAGATGTCTTGCTCAGTATATAATGCATTTCCTCTTAGGAAATTCAACTATGGATAATATTTGACTAATGAAACCCCTCTCCAGATTTTTTGGAATCATTTAATTTTAGGAATGGAAATGGCCTCAGATAGACATTCTTGGTAGTACAAATGAAGAAATCAACATTGGAACACTGTGATTGGCTTCCCTAAAGACTCATTAGTGAATGGTCCTGGAAGAGGACCTTTGCCTCTTGACTCAATTCAGACAGCTTATTTAAAAGAATTGAAGATCACTGCTTGCCAGTCAACCTTCTGGATTTCCTATACTGACTTGTCCACTTCAAACTGCTAGAAGCTGAACGAGACCTGCTATCTCTTCTCCACTGGCCACTATTAATTAGAGCAATCATTTTAAAACATGGTGATTAAACCATGATATGATGAGAAAGCCACTTCATCCCAATGGCATTCTTTCTAGAAATCCATATGTAAT